ATCCGTAGATCGTTTTTGTCGCAAGTAATCCCCTGAAGTCCACATTTTCAAATTCTGAAAACGTTCTATTTTTATAACCCCCCAAAGAGTTATTAAAGATGCACTTTTTATTAGCATTACCAAAATGTTGTTTAATTGTATGACCAAGGATTACATTTTTGTTGTTGTTGCTTTTCATGATTGTTGATAAGAGCAACACAGCAAAATTTAGTTTATTGAGCAAAAAATACCCAAAGACACTGTAGTGGATTCCTGGTGACACCAACGATATTGTTTAAATTAGTAAACGTAAATAGTTGACAGGGGATACAACTGACACAATTCGGAAAAGGAGTACTAATGTAAAATGTTATGGACTTCCACAAGAGTTACTCCTTGTATATTTCTATGCATGTCAACTCTGATTAACTGCAGTAAATAAGTCTTTGTTTAACGGCTGATCAAAATACTAAGTATTCAAAACCATTATACCGTCTTGCAAAATCTTACTTTCTTTTATCTGTTTTGTTTTTGTAATCACTGCTATAAATCAAAGCTGCAGGCTTGCGATGTATCCAAACATTAATTTCACTTTTTTTTTGTCCGGATGGTATAGCTGAAAACAAACCCTACGTCCTCTTTGCCTTTCCCGAAAATGAAACTGAAAAAAGATACTTACCTCAAAATCTTTCACTCTATCTCGCAGCAGTTTGTTATCGCAATTTATTTTACATCTAGTTCTTTAGAGACTGAATTTCGATAGCTGTTTTTGTAAACATTGTTTTATTTGGGTTTTTTAATGTAATTTTTGGAAACAGAACTACATGGTCGGTGACGATGTGGGTGTGCTAGTTTGATAACTGTTAACTGATTCATTACTCTCAATATAAAGAAAAAATTATGTGGTGCATTGTGGTGAAATCAGGCACACGTCAAAATATTGAAATCGAAGAAACAGCCATTTTTCTGGCCACCTGGCAGTTTTATTTTATTTTATTTCATCGGGTCAACACGTTTTATGGTAATTTAAAAACCATGTTCTGTGGGGATTTTACAGACACACGTCGATTAAAAATCATAGAAATAGGTTAATTGGCAGTTTCCAAGGATACTCAAGCATTGGAAGTCACCTAACTTTGGAGGCTATTTTCTTGTTAATTTTAGCTGAGACACAAGCTCTCCCCCCAAAAAACAAAAACAACAACTCCTCCTTCAATAGCAAAAATCTAAATTTAAAATAATTCGAAAAAGATACGTATTGTTTCCCAGAATAGCAAGACAAAAGAACAAGCTTTAAGATTATATCAATAACTGAATAATGCCCAAAGACTAACGAGCGCCTGATTCCACTCCGGTGTGACACATTTTTTGAAAAATTATGGGTCTGTGATCTTAAGTCATGTATGCATTAGTGGGGAAAAGTTCCGCAGAGGGTCGGCACTAACCTTGACAAGTCCGCTGAGCAAACCATACAAGAGTTGGTTTACATATAGAAGCCAATTGATGACTTACATTGTGGTATGTTTGACGACTAGGCGAGCTATCTTTTCAGAGCAAAGCAAATTAAAATTTGATAGCTCCAGTCCAAGACAAATTTGAGTCGTGTGGAATCCGCCATTACCTTCCTCTGTCGACAAATGAACAGTCGGACTTCCGTTGTTGGTCGGCCGGCCCTCTGCGGAACTCTTTCCCCATCAGTATCTATAAATGGGAACTATAACCAAAAAAAAAAAAAAGCAACAACCCGCAAATAACTTCTTTTCAGCCCAGACATCAACACCCTTATCTGAAATGCCTTCGGATTTCGTCTACGTCGATGGCATGACAGACTTCTCCACTTCAAAATCAAATTTAGGCAAAATATCTATTGCCTCCTGGGCCCCCATTCACACAATCCTCACGAGCACCACAAAGAAGACGGTGTATTATAGAGACAAACCGAGCAGTAAAGTACTTTTTTCTCAACCCAGCACGTTTTTCTCTACCTCACACCCAGTGTTGCATTTTTGAAAATATATTATGACTTTGAAATTATGAAAAAAAACCCAACTATGTTAACATATTCAATTTTTTTTTATTGACGAACACATATTACCAATCCCTTTACCACTTTATCCCGATATGAAACTGACCATACCCAAAGATTGAGCATAACAAGATAGTTCACTCGACCGAAAAAGTGTCCACGGACGTTGAAGCTCCCTTTCGTTCTTCCAGAAGAAGAATAGGAATAGCACCCACTTGTGCATCAGCTGTTCCGGTTCGCCCAGTGCGAAGTTTTGGGTTTGTTATATTTTAATGACCTCTCGCCTCTCGTTCTAAAGCCAAATTAAACAAAGAAAACAGTCGCCCCTTCCACCTGAAGAGGCTTTTTGTCAGCATAACCGCTTGAAAAGGTGTTATTCCGAAATTTTAATTATTGTTATTTATACAAACACTAGTTAGTTTCGCTTTTTTCTCCACACAAGTAGTATCACTCTGTTCGCAAAGCGGGCGCTTTTTCGAAGAGGCCCCACCAGATTTTGAGGACACTTTTTTAATTTGTTCAAAGAGAGGAGTGAACCATCTTACTAAACATAATCTTTGCTATATCTCGGGCGTCTCTTAACAGACAAAAATATTAATGTGTCAGATGATGCAGAATTTATTTAGCGTTAAATTGGTATGTTGCATGAGTGGGTAGTGCAAGGCTTTAACACAATGATTGGGTGATTACATTTTCAGGTTTCTTTTGGACGCCACTGTATAATCAACACACCACAAGCACACGGATTAGCACCTCCCGCATCACCATCCCAAAATCGCACTCGGATCCTCACCAGCCCGCAATCTCATCTATCCCCTCCATCATTATCAATTCCATCCAATCATCAAACAATTTCCTCTCCCCTCATTTCTAAAAAATCAAAGCTAAAAGAATAAAGGCAATAATAAACAATAAGAATTGTAGAGCAAAAAAACAACAACAAACAAACAAACAAAACAAAAACAACACCAACAAAAAAATCACACACACACACACACACACACACACA